GGCGGCGCCGTGCGGATGAATCGGACGGCGAGTTCCACTTCCCCCATCTTCCGCGCTCCGGCGGCGGAGAAAATTAGGAGAGGGAAGAAATTTCTGTACACCTTACCGGTTTTTAGCGTAGAGATACGGATCCGAACTTTTCCGATTCGCGAATCGGGCCTATCCGGTTCGGCTGGACCGTCGGTTTTGAATTCTCCTGAACTGTCGAAAACTCCGATGGTCAACACCGTGCACGGATCGTAAACCTACAAAATTTTATGTTAAATTAAAAAATAATTTGAGATTTATTGATTGAAATATTATATTCTTTATATATTAATATATAAATTCCTAACATATATGTCGGAAATTCTCTTGGAGTCTTAAGTTTAATTAAGTTTTGTTTAATATTCAATTAAATTAAATACTATTGATTATATCAATTTATTTAAAAAATAAATTCTGATTTTTGTATATCTTTGATATTAGATTGTAAAGAAAATTAAAATGTTTTAAACTCACAGTATTAAGTCAGATTTATTTTATTATTTAGTCGTTAAAATTATTTTTTTCTTGTGTGGTGAAAAAATTAAATTCCATAATTTTCAAGTTTTTTAATAAGTTTCAAAACTTGTAACTTTGTAACTAATATATCCATAAAATTAAAAATGTATAAATACTTTTAATTTTGTGGAATAATTTTTGTCTTATTCAAGTTATTTTAATTGATAAATTTATGAAATATAAAATTAAATGGGTTCTAAAAAACGTCCAAATAGTAAATGGTTTAAAAAAACAACTTAAATTCAAGGATCTATTAATTATAAAATTAAAAGTTTAAAGATCTATTAAATATAAAAAATAACCTAGACAAGAAATTAAAAATTTAAAGATATATTAGATAATATTTAAGTTAAAAATTTAAATATATATTAGATAATATTTAAAGTTGAAATGATCTAATTAAACACAAATCTAATCTAAAGGATTAGGAAATAAAATTATAATTTTACTTAAAAGAAAAACTCAAGAAAGCTTCTATAAAAAAGCTTCTTCAAATGTTGTTAAAAAAGTTCACATATTTTAATGTATATTGAATATCAATACAGAGGAAAAAACCATATTTAAAGAAGTGTTTCAAATTAAGGAGAAAAAAAGATTATTTACATGCATATATTTGAATCGATAAAGAATCAAGATGTTTCTTTTTTAGTGAAAATAAGGAGAAAGAAAATTTTATTAAAAAATTAAATTACCTTCCACGTATATTGCTCATTCCATTTCGGGTCGAAACTGTTGCAAACGGTCCGGGTTCGGACCCACTTCGACCCGTATTTGGCCACGCAATACGCGTCTGTGGATGCCTTCCCGCCCGCCGTCGACTTCATCGGAACCAAATTCTTGCACCCAATCACTCCGACTTGAATGGACCCCACCGGCGGTTTCCACAGCTGCCTCGCCGTGGGCCGGT